CACACACACACACACACACACACACACACACACACACACACACACACACACACACACACACACACACACACAATTTCTATTGCTTTTATCAAATTACAGACCGGACCTCATATTTAAAATTTTGAAGTGTTTTCAAATAGAAAAATCTGCTTGTTTGATATATTTTTCATTCCATTTGCTTTCTTAAGTACCACAAAAGTGATTTTTTTTCCTCCAGTAAAAGTTAACTCAAGGAGAGAAGAGGTAATAAATTTCAGGTTTGATTAATTGATACATTTAGGTGGAGGAAGTTGAGGCAGTGCTCATAATTTCTATAAGAGTCATTGTTTTATATCTCTAAGTTGGTATAAAACACAGTGTTAAACACAGGAAGGCTCCAGTCCAGCTGAGGGGTCTGTGACTGGCTCCATGATATTCAGGTCAAATAAACAAAACGGTTCAGAAAGCGAGATTAAACCGATCCAGACTCAAACCTTCAGCTGTGTTTAACCCCTCACAGTCCCCCCACCCCAGGCAACACACACCTCACTCCCGAGAGGCAAGACAAGAAAACCATTTGATAAATAGTGAATGCTGCAGTTATATGTGCAAGTGCTGTGACCACTTCTAAAATTTATTATGGGGATTACACACAAAATCACACAATGCAACATTTTCAAATGTGTTATGAATGCCTCCAAGAATCCAATTCAAATCCCAGGTTACCAAATAAGCCTGAACAAATCCCCCCACATTGAGTTCTGCCTCCTTTGAAGACTGGAGAGGTCCGGTCTGCAGGGCAGGTTTTACCAAACCGTGCAGACACCTCGGCGCTCAGGAGAAGGACTACTTGTGGTGAAGGGAAAGGGAAGTAATGATCTGACAACAATGAGAACGAAGGAGGTTTAATTTGCAGAATTAGACTGTGCAGGAATGTGACAACGGGCAGATGTTTGACTGTGAGAAGAGGAGAGCCTTCCTCGCCTGCTTCRTCCCCATCGGCTCTCAGCACATCTTGACCTTGACTCCTTGCAGACGGTCTGAAGGCGAGTGCGTTTAATTGCATCCACCTGTTTGTTGGCAAACTCCTGCATAAAAACACAAACAATTATGGCACTAATTAAAAAAGGCGAGTCGTGTTAACAGAAAGAACAAGCTTGGTAAACACACATTAATTCACTCAACCAGGGCTGCTTTTCAGAATTAATTCAGAATTAATTCAATATCAGCTGCATTAGAGGCATAACCTGAAACTTGGAAGTTAAATTAAATGAAGACTGTCCCCGAACAAACTGAAGTTTTTTTTTTGTTAGTTTTTTCCCCCACTTTCATTAATCTTTAGGGAGGGAACTGGATTTTTTCTGATGACCTCTGGGGTCAGCTTTGTTACACAAAGGTTTAACTCCTTTGGAATAACTGCTAAGCATAAGAAGAAAAAAAACATATCTTTAACATGGTAGACGAAATAAAATATAAAATGTTGTGATTATCTTGTATCACCAAGAACGAAATCATACAAAATATTTTAAAAAATCAAAAATAAACAATGAGTATAAA